GATAACTGGGGCTGTCATGTTATCAGTTTCATCTTCTGAAATATCTTCGCTTTCTTCTTCGCTGTCTTCTGCGAATCCTTGCATATCATCTTCTTCTCCTTCACTATCAGATTCAGGTTCAGGCTCAAAATACCCAATAAGACTAAGTTCATTCTTTCCTCCTTCTATAGAAAGTTGAATACCTTCTCTAGCTGATAAAAATAAATCTACACTACAACATTCTTGTTTATCTTTTTGTAATACACATGCAGAGAAACTCTGAGATCCTTGTATTATCTTTAAATATGTTCGGTTGTTATCCACTGGCTTGCTCATACAAACCTGAGATATATGAAGAATTTCTCCTCCATCTTCTGGGGTAACCTTGACGGTTTGGCCTGGTTTCAGGTTCTTCGCTGAACATGCATGCATGCACATGCAACACAGCCAGCAACAGAAACATGAATAAATTCAACAAAAAAACAGGAAACTTTGGGATCATATGCATGTAAACACGCAAAATACCAAAAGAAATACATATACATGAAAATAAACAACTCATGAAGGTCGAAAGAGAAGAAGAAATGCAACGAAAGAAGGCAAAGTCAACACCACGCCAGGACCGGTGCAAACAGAGCAGGGAAAGCGAACAAATTGCTCGTTTTTCTGCGTTTCTTTTGAACGAAATGCATTAAAATACAAATATTTTTAAAGAATATCAAACAAATCCAAAAAAAAAGATGAAAAAACTCAAGAAGACTGAACTGAACGGTTGCAGTGCTCGTATGAAGATGCAAGTGGAGCTGCGTATACACCTGAAACTCACCGAACATCATCTTCGTTGGTTTTTCGTCAAATAAAGACTAAAACCGAACAAGCCAAGTAGAAAACAACAGAAATATAATTACTTTTACAATTCAGAAAAGAGAATCCTTCTTTCGATGCACCAGCGGAGCCCCCACAAAGGCGAGAAACCAGAAAGCCCCTACAGCCCCAGGGCTGAACTTGCAAAAGTACAGAAAGCGGTGTATTTCACTTGAATTTCAGAAAAAAGACAAAATAAAAACGAAAAATATTCAAAAATATATATATTAAACACAAAAATACAGAGGATCACCGCTAAAATTCTTTTTTTTTTTAGTGTTTCCTCCGCCCCCCACCACCCGTTTCATTGCATGTACGTGCAGCAACGGGGTCTG